AAAGAAGGGTTGTGTTCGGCATATTGGCCGCTTGGTGTATTCCAGCTGCCACAGCGCTTCTACCTTTGTCGTGGACGTACTTGGCCAAATCCATGGCACAGAGATCAACCTGTTGGGAAGTTTTCATCATTGGCACGTTGATCGTCTATGGAATTATTCCTTGCCTCCTTCTTCCCCTTGCCATTGTGCGCATCTTGATGATAGTTCGAAGGTGTCGCTTAGAACGATGTGTAGTAATGGCTCAGTTAGATTTCAGTTATTCTGAGGCAAGAAGCAGAATTCGAAGACAGTCCTTCCCAGATCAAGATATTTCTTCCACGAAGCTCATTGTTGCTATAGTCATTTTGTTCTTTATTTGTTACTTGTTTGGTGTTTGCGTCCGAATCGTGGCCGTGTTTGGTCAAAATCAACCACCTGAATGCATCCATATAATTTCCTCCATTCTAATTTTAACCAACTCTACAGCTAATCCTGTGGCATATGGATTATTAAAGAAAGATTTTAGGAGAGAACTGTTGAAAACGTATAGATTGAATAGTTCGTCCAGTGAGCTTGCTTTAGGTGCAAGGATAAACTCAGACTTCATTGGCAGTTAAGGTGTAACAACTTAAAAGAAAACGATAAAAAGGACCTTAGCTTTACAACACATGTTTCGATTTATACAAATAGCCAATAATAGTATTGCCTTATACCTCGTCTGGTCGATCGCTTAAATTTGAATTAAGTTTTCTGATGAATGTTTTACAATAAGTTGTCTGAGACGGGTTTTAAATGAAACCTGATCAAAAGACTTCTATTGCAAGGAACCTTGATTATATAAAACGAAACATATTAATCAAATTAGCCCCTATCATTACATTGATGAATTATTATTATAATAATAAGTTCCATAATAGTTTGAAAGTGTCTGTAGTAACTTTTTGGTTTCGAGTCGAAGTTCGTGGTAACCTGTTCTTGGATAATATTCTTCTTGTGAGGCACGGAATAAGTCAGCTGAGCACAACAAGTGATGCTTATCAACGCTGAAGTCAATCCGATCCTTCTGTGCACGCCCAGGTGAAAATTTAGGTTTTCGGGGCTGTGCTAGGAAGAAAGCAACACTAAACAAACAAGTTCAAACTTTAATTTCTTCTCTATTTTAATGCCTCTTGCTCTGTCTTAACTAGCGACGCAACTGAGGGGGGGAATTTTCCAAACTGTCGGTAAAGAAATAGACTTCTAGACTTTTGTACAGTCTTTTGTCTTACAGCCTTCCCTTTCAAAATTTAAGCATTTTCTTAAATTCTCTGTTAATGTCTCTTTTGATGAAAGCATACGGGAAAGGATCAGCTGCGGAATAACAATAGCTTTCTGAGGTGATGAAATTCATCTGTTAGTCAACAGACATCAAAGTAGAAACATATCGATCTCACTACGTCCATCGTGTTGGATAAGATGAAGAGTCCCACGACTACGATAATGACTGTGGCGGAAAATTGTCCTCTGTTTTGCCTGAGATTCAGCTGATTTAAACGTAACTGCGCATGCATTATTGCGGTTTGTCGGTAAAGACGTCTTGATATAACCAAAATTTTTCCTGCCGCACTTAAGAGAAAGATGCGAGGCAATATCTCAAAGAGAATTCCGAAGCTGACTTGGAATAATAGGTGAATGTTCTCAGTCGCGCCGACAAAGTGCATGTACAGGTTTGGTGGTAGATAAAGAAGTGGAGGTAATCCCAAAGCGCACCCAGTGAGCAAGAGAACTCGTCTTTTCATGATCCGAACGTATTTAAATGGGGTCGCGATGGCGATATATCTATCGGTAGCCACTGCACAGAGATTCGCAATGGCCATGATAGCAAACTGCCACGCAACTATGCCACGGAGAACGTTGTCGCAGGCAAAAATTGTGTCACAAAGAAACGCCACGGGAAAAAAACAAATAGCAAAGACAAATCGGCTGTGGCAAGCGACAGGATAAACCAGTGTGTTGTCGTGTGAAGGTGTTTTGTGGTTATTGTGAGGTAAATGACCAGACCATTTTCAATGTTGCTGTAATAGTTAAGAACCGTGCGCTGGCCACGTAACTTGGAATCATATCCATGTGTTTATGTCATACGGGAACCAGATCAGATTTATTTCGATGAAAACATTTGCCCATTTGTCCTTCATTCATAGAGAATTCATTCTGTATTGACAAACTTGAATATTTTCTTTCTATTGCTCTTTGTATGAATTATAAACACAACTCCTGTGGAGGAGAGGTAATTAAGAGGAGAAACACCTCAAGCAGTCAGTATTTTATCAGGTAGCGTTTGTTTCAGCGAACCATTTTTAAATTTATCATAATGATGTTAGCAGAAAACAATTTTTAATCTCTCTCGATTAGACGAGCCCATTCAATTTTTTTTTTTCAATGAATGATTTGCAAATCAGGGTAGCTATTCAGAAATCACCTTGATCGGATATTGGTATGTAATTGGTATCAACGCCACAATGTTTTAAAATTAGTTTCCTGCATCTGCGTCTCCTGCATCTATTAATTAGTTAATTTGGTTAGGCAGGGGACGTTAAAGAACCCACTCACGGGATTACTGTGATGTGGTCTGGCCTGTTTACTAGGAATTGGGGGGAGGGGGCATCTTCAAACAAGTTTCCTTCGATTGTTTGTAAACTTCTGATGCAGTCCGGCCAAGTCCCCCGAAAAGTTTCGTGATGTGCATTTGATCATATCCACATGATTTGCGCAATATAAATATTAAATTATTATTATCATTAAAGAGTCCAGAAATGTCTTGTTAAATTTAATGGCTGGAATATATCGGAGCCTAAGCTCAGTTATCATGCCTTTGAAAAAGCTGGGTTTGTTTGATATCTTACTATGTGCAAACAACAAACAGCCATTGTTCTTTTAGAAAGGAAACTTTCAAAAGCGAGAAAAAAACCTACATCATTCGAGAAAGTTGTTAATAGGCCTTTTGCAGCTAGAGATCACGTGCTTAGATACCGCATAGCAACACCGTACTGGAGAGCAAGTATTCCAGTGATCTCAGACAGTATAGAGGTCACAGAGGTCTGCATTCAAACAAAGAATACAGCGGATAACAGGTCAAAAGGTATCCCAATTCGAGAAATCCAGTAAGAAGTAATCAACAGCTTCCCTGGAGTGTATCAGCAGCAAAATCACACCAAAATTCGTTTTTCGCTGATACACTCCAAGGAAGCTGTTGATTAAAACTTACAAGATTTCTCGAATTGGGATATCCTTTAACTTGTTATCCGCTGTATTCTTTGTTTGAATGCAGACCTCTGGGATCTCTATTTTGTCTGAGATCACTGGAGTGCGTTGCTATGCGGTATCTAAGCATGGGATCTCCAACTGCAAAAGGCCTATTAGGCCAGTGCTATTGACAAACGAATCGTCAGAACGTCATCGCGTTTTGTCAGCTATTTACTTTGGACAAAAAATCCCCTCGCACTCTTTTTTAAAGTCTCTTTTCAAAAATGCATAGGCAAAAGGGTTCACTGACGAGTTCACAATCAATAAGATCCCCAACAGATCCCGGATCTCAATCGGTGGATCTCATACATTAAGACCAATACACAAAGACAAAAGAATATTTGTAGCATAGCAAACGACAAAGACAGCTACTACAGCGCATATTATTTGAACAGTTGACATCTCTCTCCGAGTTCTTGACAGTTTGAAGTGACAAGCAGGTTTTCCCCTCCATTTGTTGTAGCGTAATTGAGAGACTTGAATGGCGGCTTGTCGTCGGTGCTTTCTTCTAATCAATAACATTCGAACAGTAACAGTAATTAAAAGAGCAATGGGTACTACTTCCATGACTGCTATTCGGGTTATTGCAAACGTTCTTTGCACATCCTTTGATTCCGTCCTCTCTGCTAAATACTGAATTGGAGCAAGGGATAACGATAGAAGCCAGGCTGAAGTAACAGCGACCAAAACACGTCGAGTAGTCACCATGACAACGTATCGTAGTGGCAGTGTGATAGAGATATAGCGATCGATGGTCAGCACAACCAAATCTGATACAGACGCATACATGAAGACGGACGCCATCATGATACGGTGTCCGCGATTGCAATGAAAGAACAAATTGCAGAAAAACGACGCCGGAAAGTAGCTCAAAACAAGCAAGAAATCGGCCAACGCTGGCGAACGAATAATCCAGTTGGGTAAAGTGAATAATCGGCGTCTGTTGATGATTAAATATATACTGAAACCATTGCCAATGAGTGACACAACACTAAAAATCCAACCAGTAATCCAATACCATGCTGCCATCGGGATATATTGCTCACTACGTAGCTTTTGCAATCAAATTCCAAATTCCACAAAGAACAACCAAAGTGCCAGCTTTACAGCTTTCTTTGAAAAGTACGTTGTTTGCGAGTTGGGTTGCGAAATAATACAACTTGTCCTCCACGTTGTAGCTTTGACAGGTATTTTATTAAATTTGGGTTTGTTTCATCATCAGAATGCTGTTCACGCAATGACAAACTGACATGACTAAATGTTTTTGAGAAAGTAAAAAACAAATCAATGGCTAAGGAAATGTTACGAATAACTTACAACAGATGTTTTGAATGATGCATTATGGATAAAAGAGCCTAAGGCTGCGTTTTCTAGTTTGAGAATTGTGGTAGTGATTTTAAATCAATTTCTTCAGTAGGGTTATTCCTTTATGTTCAGTCGTAAATGATGTCGAGCCCTGTATTTTGAGCACATTTTGATGCTTTGTAGCGGATTATCAAAATAAAAAATGCAACGGCGCGACTGATGACTAAGGAGCAGCTATTCGATTATCCTGCTTACGATGCACTTTGAGTATCATGGTAATTTTTGGGGTTAAAATAATTGGTGGTAAAATGTTCCTCAGTGCATTTTACATGAAATAATCGCTGGCAGCTTGATTTAGCCGAACATTTGAAATTTTTTGCTCGTAATATACATAAATCTTATAAGACGTTTTGGTTTGAAGTATCGCTGAGTATTTTTATGTGTGGTGCCGTATTTTGACGAGCCCTTCGGGCGAGTCAAAATACAAAGAAAGAGTGATAATACGAAGGAATACTACACATTAAACGTTTAATAAGTCATTTGTTATCCAGCGTCTTTTTGTTTCTGCCACGTGTTTCTGCTCATTTCTTCTAAGGCGAAAAAGCAAGCGGATAGAGAAGCGTAACGCGCACAGACGACTAGTTAAACAGGCTTTTTACATTACAAAATAACTAACTGTACAATATCGCGCGATATTTGTACTCTACTCAAACTTTATTTGTACTCTTCTTTGTGCCGATGGGTAATAAATGGTTATTTTACCTTCGGATGTAGCCCCTTTGTAAGGGCTAACAATACGAAAACTTTCAAATGCGTCTTTCTTTATCACCGAGAAGGAAAATCCATTACAATTTAGATTCTAAGAAAAGGCAAAGCATTTGTAGATTCTAAACGAATCAGACATTCTTAATTGTCGCGGGACTGCTTAATAGAACTGAGGTGAAGCCAATAGATGTATTTAATTCACTGGTCAGTCGAAATTTAAGAATCGCTTTCAATTAATCACATTCATTAATGCTACCGTAAAATTTCTCAAATCTGATTGGATGATCAGTGGCACGATCTCATTTGTTGTGCTTATCTTAGAGTAATCGTATCACGCGGGTATTGATCAGTAAGTACCCTTGTTTTACGCCAGAAATGCTGTTTAAGGTGTTACAACAAATTTGGAGAGCCAGCGGTCCATCTTCATAATGGGCTCAGTCGCCTCACGTCAGTATGTATTTAAGTCTTTGCGCAAAAAGTTTTATTAATGTTACGTAGTTTGGCGTTGTATGTTTGTAAGCTGCGTCCCGTGTCCCTTTAAATATCCAAACCGTCATTAGTTAGATTTAGCGGAATTTAATTTTTGTCATAGAAACCACTGCTCAAGAATAAAATGTAGGGTTCGGGTAACCATTGAGAAGTGTTACCGGTGTGTACGTTACATAAGGATAATAACTTACAATACAGTTTCATTTTCGATGAAAAGTTATGCTTTTAATATAAAGTCATCAAAAGTCATACAATCGTAGTTACCTGAAGATCAAGAGTGGACATGCATCGGTTTCTTTCACGTTAGCACTTCATCATCCTGATCATCACTATTTTAGTCGTCTTGCATGAACATGAGTTCTACATTGAGCTAACCATCCCCCGGTTAGCTCAATTGGTTAGAGCGCCGGATTGTCTTGTGCGGGAGGTCGAGGGTTCGTTCCCCGGCCGGACCAATACTCAAGGTCTTAAAATAACTGAGGAGAATTTGCTACTTTTCTATAATATCAAGAAATGGATAGATATTCTAGTCTTCTCGGATAAAGACGAATAAACCGTAGGCCCCGTCTCCTGCAGGGTTAGGGGTAGGAGACGTTAATTTCCCACGCACGAGATTACTATGTGGTGGATGTCCTCCCCTGAGGTGGGATGGCTGGGTGGTGTCTTAAGAATGGCTCTGAAAAGCCCTGTGATGGAGTGGTCAATTAACATATGTATGTATGTCTGTATGTATGTATGTATGTACAACAAATACCCAACAAGGAGACCTCAAGATACCCACATTTCCAAGGGGCGGGCCATTTCTAATGAAAACTCTTTCTTTATTAGTGGATCGTAAAGGTTTTCAATTTTTTTGCAAAACACCACCCATCTTTAATTAAGGCAGTCGGTAAAATTATTCAGTTATAGGCTCATTCCTTCATTCTTTCCTAATGGGATGCAAAGTCTCCGTTCTCTTAAAAAAATCACGCACTAAAATGTAAAGATAGTGTTTCTACAATATTGCAACATTTTATGGTTTATAAAAGGGGGAGGAATTATCAGAAACGACTGTAGAGTAGAATTTTTCTTCAACAGGCCAGCAGTAACAAAATTCCTTTTTATTAATATTGCTTCAGATTCAATATAAAATAAAGTTGTGGAAGAAGTGTATTGGAAGCAACCAGAAGAGTACTTGCTCTTTGCTACGAAAGTTGCAATCTTCGTTTTTTTTTTTTTTGCTACTAATTGAGGCAAAATTGTAATTAGTACTCGCTGCGAGCAGGATTCGAACCTGCGCGGGGAAACCCCATTGGATTTCGAGTCCAACGCCTTAACCACTCGGCCATCGCAGCTGTGGGTAAATATAATATGAGAATGAACTTTTAAGAAATCATGGCAACCTTTTCAATAATGGAGACATAAATATTCAAACAATTCATAAATGCAAAGAAAAGTCCAGGCAACAAGAAACACCATCGCGAATAAAACATTATTTTGTTGTTTATAGAGTACTAACACACTGTACATGTACCATTCGAGAATATGTGTTTGTCTACATGTTGAAAAAGTTCCCTATGATAGTGAAATTTACTTTTATTTTGTTGAATTTAGTTGCGCTATTGACGACCAACAAATGGGAAGGTGATCAGCATTCGCTGAGTTTCTTAGTACTATACTCTGACTGCTGACATTAAGGAC